CTTCGCAGGGAGCTCTGTCAGCGTGCCCCAACCCCCCCTTCGGACCCGAACGGCAGGGACTATATGTCTGCACTCTTTGGGCCAGAGCGGGACTGGACCACGTCCGCTGCGCGATGCGGGTGCTCTTCGTCAGTGGACGGGACGGGGGGTGAGCAGGATGGGATGGCAGTGGAGGCATGGAAGCAAGGAGCTGGGGCAGTGACTGAGTGGGCGGCGGCAGGCCAAGTGTCCAGCAGGACCGGCGGGCGAAAGACCCCGACCGGCTCCCTCCTGGGCCCGCCCTTCCTGCCCTGCGCGCGGCGGCGCGATAGGGCGCGGGGCAGGGAGCGCACTGGAGGGAAACGAGAAACGAGAAACGAGGAGGAGGAGGAGGAGGAGGAGGAGGAGGAGAGGAGGAGGAGGCGGAGGAAGGAGGAGAGGAGGCGGAGGAGGGAGGAGGAGGAGTCCTCACCCCCTCTTTGCCGCCCCCGAAAAGTGCGCTTTCTCCGGCCCCCGGGCGGCCCCGGCGGACGTCGCTGCCGCTCCTCCCCGGCGGCAGGCCCGTGGAGAGCGCCCCCCGCGGGCGGTGGCGCCGGGCAGCGCGCCGCGTGCGCGCGAGGCGCACACGGGGCCGAGGCCCTGGGCGCTGGAGAGCTCATGCGTCGTGGGTGAGAGGAGCGGGGCTTCCTCCTGGTCCTCCTCCTCCTCTCCTTCCTCCCCTCCTCCTCCTCCCTCCTCCTCCCCCTCCTCTCCTCCTCCTCCTCCCCCTCCTCCTCCTTCCCCCTCCTCCTCCTCCTCCTCCTCCTCCTCCTCCTCCTCCTCTCCTCCTCCTCCTCCCCTCCTCTCCTCCTCCACCTCCTCCTCCTCCTCCTCCTCCTCCTCCTCCTCCTCCTCCTCCTCCTCCTCCTCCTCCTCCTCCTCTGGCCAATCTGGCTCCAACCTCATTGCTGCACCCCCTCTCCGCCTCCATTCTCGCTGCTTCCTCCTCATTCCCCCCTCTCCTCCTCTTCCTTCCTCCTCTTCGTCATCAATAATCGTCGCTCCTCGTCTGTCCGCCTCCCTCGTTTTCATCCATCCTCCCTCTTCCAGCTCCTCCTCAGCCCTCTTCCTTCTCCATCTCATCATGCGAATCACCCTGCTAATCCTAATATTGGGCGTTTCTTGCCGTACTAGAATAGCCAGCTTGACAACTAGAACTTACTTTGGAAATATGACCGATGAGCAGGACATCGCGCATCCAGCGCAACATCCCCCAGCATGCATAAACACGTCACATCCAAAGTAAACTTGAAAACTTCGCGACTAAGCCAATTGGAACAGGTGGCCGTGACACTTTAAAACAGCGGCCTTAAAACCTAACGCTTCGGCCCTTCCGTCTCGAGCGCCCTCGCCGGCGTCCCCGCGAGCGGTCGGTACGCGAGCGGTCGTTAGCGGCAAGAGCCTGCCGCACCTCTTTGGACAAAATAAAAGAGGTCACCGCCAGAGGGGTCGCCAACTCCTCCAAGAAAACGGGCCTCGCTGGACCCCGCCACCCCGCCCCGGACCTCCTCTGCGAAACGTGAAACCAAAACGACGCTGCATAGATCTTTGCTCTCCGGGGGGACCGGGACCGTCAACAAAAAAAACTGGAACGCAAAACCAATCCCGGGGATGGGGTCTAGACGTAAGTCGGGCGTGTCCCCCTAGAGGGGGATTTCGGACAAAAAATCAAACAATACCCCAACAATACCCAACAAATGCTCAAACATGGTCAAAAAATAGTCCCCAGACTATTTTGGACTATTTGGGAATATTCCCCCTGTAGAGGGACAGGCCCGACATAAATCTATACCTCTTGGGGGCCCACGTCGCGACGGGTTCCTTGCCGGCGATCTGGGCACGCGGGCCCAGCAACAGAGACCCTATCCCACAGGACGCCCCGACGCACGCCGCGAGAGCGTCGAGGAGGCCTCCGCGATCGTCGACCGACCCCTCCTGCACGCCCCCTCGGCTTCCAGGAAGCGGTGGTGCCCCCCTGGGTGGTGACCCCCCTCGGCGCTGCCCGAGCCCCTGCCCACCGCCAGTGATGGGCCTGTTTTCCACCACCACCACCACCACCACACCACCACCACCACCACCACCACCACCACCCCACCACCACACCACCCAACAACCACCACCACACCACCACCACACCCACACAGGTTTGGAGGGTGAGGGGGTCCGCCTCCTCCTCCTCCTCCTCATCCTCCTCCCTCCTCTCCTCCTTCCTCCTCCTCCTCCTCCTCCTCCTCCTCCTACTCCTCATCCCTCCCCCCCCCTTCCAAATTACCGGTGGTGGTGGTGGGGTGGTTTGGTGGGTTTGGGTGTGGGGTGGTTGGTGGTGGGGGGGTCGGGGGACGGTGGTGCTTTGGTGGTGGTGAGGTGATCATTTGGATCGGGGTGGGAAACAGCTGCTCCGCGGGTCGCGCGCTCCAGGCGCGAGCCCCAGTGGCCAGCTGGCCGCACGGCCCCGCCTGCCGCCCGCGGGGGTCGCCCGCGGGCGCGTGCTCTCCACGATCCGCCGCCGCGCCCCCGAGCACGCCGAGGCGCGGCCGGATGCCGAGTGCCGTCTGGCGGGGGTGTCCGTAGCCTTCTGGGGGAGGACACTTGCCCGTCCCCACCACCCCTCCCCCTCCTCCTCCTCCTTCCTCATCCTCCTCCTCCTCCTCCTCCTCCTCCTCCTCCTGCCTCCTCCTCCTACCTCCTCCCTCCTTCCCCTCCTCCTCTCTCCTCACCTCCTCCTACCCCTCCCTCCTCTCCTCCTCCTCCTCCTCTCCTCCTCCCTCTCATCCTCCTCCTCCTCCTCCTATTCTACTCCTCCTCCTCCTCCTCCTCCTCCTCCTTCTCCTCCCTCCTCCCTCCTCCCTCCTCCCTCTCTCTCCCGCCTCCCCTCACCTCTCCTCCTCCTATCCTCCTCCTCCTCCTCCTCCTCCTCATCCTCTCCTCCACCTCCTCCTCTCATCCCTCCCTCATCCTCCTCCTCTCTCCCCTCCCTCCCTCCTACTCCTCCTCCTCTCCCTCCTCCTCCCTCCCTCCTACCCTCCTCCTCCCTCCTCCTCCTCCTCCTCCTCTCCTCCGCATCCTCCTCTCCTCCTCCTCCTCCTCCTCCTCCTCCTCCTCCTCCTCCCTCCTCCTCCCTCCTCCTCCTCCTCCTCCTCCTCCTCCTCCTCCTTTTGGTCACTGCCCCTTCCCCCCGAGGCTCCCTGGGCGGCCCCGGCACCTCTCCGGCGTTCTCCGAGGCGTCCAGGATGCCCAAGACGGCTTCCGGCAACGGCCCAGGCAGCTCACCAGGGCCGCCAAGAGGGCCCGAGCCGCCTGCGAGATGGCCTCGAGACAACCCAACATGGCCTCGAGACGACCCAGGATGCCCCCAAGAGGGCCACAGGAAGACCCCCGAACGAGGCACGAATAAGCCCAAATCGCTGGTTTCCGTGAGGCGTTGATGGACTATGGTGTTCCCGCCTTTTCGGGCTCCCGTCAGTTCAAGACGGCCCAAGTACCATCCAGCATGGACCCAAGACGGCCCAACAGGGCCTCGAGATAGCCCAAGAGGCCTTCAAAACGACCTCAGGACGGCCCAAGAGGGCCCCTTGACGGCTCCTCAAGACGCCCCAAGGAGGCCTTCCAGAGAGACCCAAGACGGCCTCAGAGGGCGCCTCGACGGCGCCAAGAAACCCCACGACGTCGAATGCAGCCCCAAGACGGCCCAAAAGAGCCCCAAAACACACGGCTCAAAACGACCCGAATGAGCCCCCAAGACTGCCCCACAGAAGCCCAGGACAGCCCCAAGAGGGCCCAAATGAACACCACGAGATCTTCTCAAGAGCCGAATACGACAGGTGTTACAAGGGACGGCGTCCCCCTTTTTTGGCAGCAACGCCCATACAGCAGGATGAGAGAGCAGCCCCACACCACTGTTGCAGCACCGCCGGGTGGCTGCAAGAAATCTCTGGCCAAACGGAGATGGGAAACTGCTAATCCACATCAGCCGCCCAACCCTTCTTATCACGGTGCCTGCCAGACGATGCCCCCCCAGGTACCAGGAACCCGTAGTGGTTGGAGGAGCACACGCACAACCCAGGCCTTTGACTTGGGCTCCTGAGCTATAGAAATTACAGCGAAGGCAAATGAATAAAAACAATTACACCACAAGAAAAACCCCAATCAATGGATGGTTTTCGCTGAGGAGATCGACCGGGAACCCGGGAGCCTGGGAACCCAGAACTCACCGAAATCGGCCCGGAACCAATAATCAGGAACCGGGGAACCCGGAACCGAGAACCTGGGAACCCAGCTTGCTACCAAAATCGGCGGGAAATTTTCGCCAAATCTTTCAACTTCCGCTAGGACTCCTTCAGTGCAAACACTGACTGGGGAATTACCAGAGCAAGGCAGCATGATCACTGTGTACTTAAGGCTACTTTAAGACGTCGTCATCAACATGGGAACAACCAGAACAGCCAGAGACATAGCGGAAAGAGACATAGTAACTAGCGATGCACGCGCGCAGGCCCTGCACCTCCACGCGCCGCTGGTCACCTCCCGGCGGTGCGTTCGCCCAGCAGGGCTCGGAACAAGGACAAAATACGCTGCCCTCCGTGCCTCCAAATCCGATCTTGGGCCAAGACGACGGGATCTCCGCACCCGCTCTGAGCACAGCCCCTGGCGCTCTTGACTCTGCGACCGAGCTCATCGGCATCGCAGGGAGACATTCTAGGGTGCTCCGCCGCGCCTTCAGTGGCCGCGCGGTCGGCGAACCCGTTGCCCAAGCGGCGGACATGCTCGCCAGAGCTTATGCCAGGCCATGCGGCATCTCGTGAGCCGCCACCTTACTGCATGCCTTCCAGAAATTGCCGAAGTGGTGCTTGGCTTGGAGCACCAGCCCCGGTGGATTGGAGCTTGGCAGGCAAAACGTCTGCAGTGCACGAAGGCTGATGAAGAACCACAGTGGCACAGTCGAGCAAAACAAGCCGACAGGCCCTCAGCATGCAGGCCAGGCCAGGCTGGTGCCCCGAACTCCGAGCCCTGCGGCGTCTGCTGGCAGGGGTCCCGCAGCGGCCCCTTCGGCACGCCCAGCAGCGCACCTTCCCCCTGACACCATGGCCACAGCGCGCCCCGCTCGAGGCAGCACCCGAATCGGACGACGGTGACAGGGCCCGATCACGAAGGAGAGAGCCCCAGAGGCCACGGCCCAGGGTGGCCAAACGGACCTCAAAGACTGCCCCGCCGGAGCCCGAGAGAGAGCGGACAGCAGGGAGGAGGGGGACGAACAACGAGAGTGCAACCCTCGACACGACGCGGAAGAGTGTGTCTCATCTTGCGGCCCTCCCAAGCTTCGGGGCACGAGGTGTCACACGAGTGCGCCCCACGATCAGTCGCTACCCAAGGTGCTGACTGACACGGTGGCGGGACTTGCCGCAGGCAGCTGGATAACTCGTAGCCTCTGGGCGGAAAAAACTAAAGAATGCACTGCGCAAATCGCCCAGGCTGTGCTGCGGGGGGCTCCCGCGAGCGCGTGCTCCACGATAAATTCGCGGCCCCTGGGCGGTGGAACTGCTGCGCCGTACAGGTCACCCAACCAGTCGCCCCGTCACTGCGAACGCGTTTGTGTTCCTGTTCCTCCTCCACCTCCTCCCTTTCCCCTCCTTCTCTTCGTCCTTCTCCGACTCCTCCGTTCACGATCATCATCATCATCATCATCATCATCATCATCATCATCATCATCATCATCATCATCATCACCATCATCATCATCATCATCATCAGCAGCAGCAGCAGCAGCAGCATCATCATCATCATCATCATCATCATCATACTCATCATCATCACCATCATCATCACCATCATCGTCATCAATCATCCTCATCGTCAACAGCATCATCATCGTCATCACCATCACCATCACCGTCATCATCATCATCATCATCATCAGCAGCAGCAACATCATCATCATCATCATCATCATCATCATCATCATCATCATCATCATCATCATCATCATCATCATCGACACCATCAACATCATCACCGTCATCACCCTCATCAGCCGCATCATCACCACCGTCATCATCATCATCACCACCATCACCAACATAATCATTTTCAGCATCATCATCATCATCAGCATCATCCTCATCATCAGCATCATCACAATCATAATCATCATCAGCATCAGCATCAGCATCCCGACCATCATCATCAACATCAGCATCAGTACGACCACCACCCTCACCGTCACCATTATCAACAGCAGCCTCACCAGCAGCATCATCATCATCAGCATCCACATTATCATCATCACCGCCATCACCATCGCCGTCATTATCATGATCCCAATAGTAATCAATGATCGTTACCAGCATAACCATCAGAGTCACCAACATGAGCGACAACATCACCGTCATCATCAGCTTCGTCAACATCATTATCAACAGCATAATCATCACCACCATCACCATCATCATCAACATTCCTATACCGCAATCGTCATCGCCACCGACACCATCACTACCACCACCACCACCATAACGATCAACAGCACCATCATCATTACCATCAGCATCATCATTAGCACCAGCATCATCATCAACATCAGCATCCTCTTCATCATGTTTCTTTCCCATCATGAAACTCAGCATCATCACCATAATCATAATCATATTCTTCGACAGCATCATCATCGTCATCATCATCAGCATCATCATCATTGTCATCAGCGTCGTGATTATATCTGTCTTCATCGTCATCGTCGTCATCATTGTCATCGTCGTCTCGTTCACCATGCTCTGCGTATCTTCCTTCTTCGATTTCCTCCTCGTCCACCTCCCCTCGCCATTCTCAGCAAAATTCTCATCATTGCCATCATCACCCGTGCCATCATCATCCCTCATATGCTTCCTCATATTACGTTCAACCCCCATCCTCCTCTTTCCTAATGTTCCAACCCGTCCTTTTCCTCCTCTGATTACTTTCCCCCTTCGCATAATCCTCCTCGGCCCGTGATCAAGGGGTCTACTGCGCCGTGCAGGTTGCCCAGACGGTCGCCCCGCCCACAGCGAACACGAAGGCGGCGAAGGCCATCTGCAGGACAGTGTCGTCAACGCGGCTGTAAGCCGAAACCCTCGATGGGGAGGCAGGAGTAGGATGACGCAAAAGAAGAAGAGGAGGAGGAAGAGGAGGAGGAGGAGGAGGAGGAGGAGGAGGAGGGAGGAGGGAGGAGGAGGGAGGAGTAGGGAGGAGGGAGGAGGGAGGAGGGAGGTGGGAGAACAGGATGATGGAGGAGGGGGGCGAGGCCGTCCGCGCAGAACTCGGCAGCAAGCCGGCGCGAACCCCTAACCAGCGCGGAGCACCGACATGCCCAGAGCAACAGCTGCGGGCCGAGGCTCGAACAGCGGTCGCCGCCAGAGGGCAGAGGCTGCCACTCGGGAGCTCGGGGGCGAGCGCGAGGTGCACGAGCCCACCCCCGAAGACCCGAATTTCGGCCGAATTTCGGGTTGGGGGGGGGGTACGGGTTCCATGTGCTTTTTCAATGTTCCCCGACCCCCCCCCCACTGGAAAGGGAGGGCACATTGAGGCCTTCGGGTTGGGTTGGGGTGGCTTGGTGGGTGGTGACCGTCGTCCTGGAGCACCAGCAAGTCGCCTGCTGCGCGGGGCGCGCTGCCAGCAGCGCCGGCGGCGCCCGCTGTGGCCGCCGCGGCCGCCAGCCGCCCGGCTCCGCCAGGCCCTGCAGGCGGCATCGAGGCTGGCCGCCGTCTGGAGCTGGCGCGCCGTCGTGGCCTGCGGGCCGCCTCTGAGTGGAGCTGGCGCGCCGGCGTGGCCTGCGGGCCGCCTCTGAGGACCGTGCAGGCCCGCGTGAGCTCCCGCCGCAGGTGCTGGTCCTCGGGCTGGCCCCGCAGCTTCCCGAGCAGCCGCAGGCGGGCCTCTGCGCCGAGCCGACCCTCCGCCTCCAAGGCCGAAGGGCGTCAGCTGGTCGCCGGGATAGCGACGTGGTTGTCCCTCGATCCGCGTCGACTCGCCTCCCCCCGTCATGGCGCGCAGCCACCCGCAGCCTGGCCTGCGTGCTGGCTGCGGGGTGGCGGACGGCGACGTCCAGTCAGCGGGCACCGTCGTCGTCTCGGCACGCCAGGTCCAGGAGCGGCGCGCTCGAGCCGCCCGTCCGAGTGACGGGGTCCCAGATGGGCGAAGAGGGGCCGCTCTCCTCGCAAAAAACGCTGGAGGAGGCCGCCAATTCTCCGCTTCATCCCCCGTGGCGCGCCACAGCGCCCTCGCCCAACTGGCAGGTCAAGAGATGGCATCCGCCCTCGCCCAGCGCCCGGCTTCGTCGGCGGCGCGCAGGCAGCGGGCGGCGGGCGGCGGGCGCGGTCCCGAGCTCCTGCTGGCGGAGTCCAGCGCGGGGGAGCTGCACGCGCCGCCACGCCCCGGCCCTGCCAGAGGGCGTTCTGGAGCGTGCAGAGCGTGTCCCCTGGGCGGTCCAGAGAAGCGCAGCTGGCGCTCCCGGCCGCGCCCCGCAGCTCGGCCGGTCGGGGAGGGGGCAGGGCGTCTCGGCAGCGCTGCCAGCCGAGTCCTTGGCACCCTCTCCGTGGCCAGGCCTGCGCAGTCACCACACGCCCCCCCGGGCGCGGGCTCGAGCCCCTGGCCCTGCAGCTGCGGCCCGCGCCGCACCCCTTCCAGCTCCTGGCCCGCCCGCGGCAGCCGCGACAGGCAGTCGGCCAGCGCCTCGCTGCCCCCGGTCCTCCGCGACTCCTCCCGCGCCGCTGCCGACCGAAAGGAAAAGAAGGCCGCGTGGCACCGCGCGCGTGCACGCCGCGCGCCGGGCGGCTTGGAGGCCCAGGAGTTCCGTGGCCCCGTCGTCGAGAGGCCCCGTTCCAGAAGGTCCGCCCGGCAGCTGCGTTACGGAGCCTGTGGCGAGTTCCATCCGCGAGGGGCGTTGGCTCGCTGGGCCGCCGGGCTGCCGCCAGTTGTTTCTGAAACTACGTACACGTCGTTCGTTTCTAATCGTGCTCGTTTCTCATTGTGCTCGTTCCTAAATGTTCCTGGCCCCCTAGGTGGCCAGGAAGAGGCCCAGGATAGAGCAATTAGAAATGAAAGGATCGTGCCCCCACCCCCCCCAAAAAAAAACAAAGAACGTTCGAATACTTAGAAATTAACAACGCGTAGGCTTGTGGATGCCATGACGATGGACACTCTAACGATCCTATCATAGAATCACAAATGTGTTGAACATGTGTAAAGCATGGTCTAAACATGTGTCACTGAACATGTGTCAAGCATGTGTTTACAGGTTAAAAACATGTGTGAAACATATTTTAGACATCTGGAAATGATTTGGCAGCACGCTTCCTCTCCCTTCGTCGACTTCCACAAGCGTAGGCCTTCTGCAGCTTCTTCTCCCGCAGCCCCTGCCGCTGCTCTTAGGTCGGGCCTGTCCCCCTACAGGGGGATTTTGGATGACAAATTTAAAATACTCAAAAATACTCAAAAGATGCACAAAAATACTTGAAAAGTAGTCCCCAGACTATTTTTGGACTATGTTTGATGATCCCCCCTGTAGAAGGACAGGCCCGACTTGACGCTGCTGCCCTGCCCGGAGCCGGGCTGCTCGCCAGCTCCCCCCCGAGGGGGGCCGCGGGCGCGCTGGCCCCCGGCGCCGCCGGGGGCGGCCGCGGGTGCGCGCCGAGCGCGGGCGGGCTCTCGGCCCCCCGCGCGCCTGTGAGTCCCCCCCCCAGCTTCCCAGGATCTCCCACAGGTTCTGGGGGAATCGCCGAGTCCCTGTGTCGGTGCGTGTTCCTTCCCCTCCTGACTTTTCGCTGCGCTCGCGGCCTCAGCCCGAGGGGGCCGAGCTCCCGCCAGAAAACGCCGGCAGGGCGAGTTCGGCAAGCGCGGCGTGTCCACCGCCACAAGCAAGCGTCGCGAAGACGGCCGTGGAGCTAGGCCTGCGGATCTCGGCGGAGGAGCTCGTCGTGGAAGCCGTCCAGGACCGCCCTTTGCGCCACGAGGAGAAAAGCGGGCGACAGGGTGGTCCCCCTGGTCGGAGCCCATCGCGGGGTCCATCCAGTGGAAGCGCCCCCCCAGCGTCGCGCAAGAGATGCCTCGTGGCCTGTCCACGCAAAGCGAGCAGGACGGTCGCGGCTACCTCGCTCCGCCGCCATATTGCCGCCATGGAGAGCGCCTGCTGCCACCTCTCAGGAAAGCTGCGGTCGGCCTGGTTTCCGCCTTGGCATGTCCTGCTTCCGCGATGGGACATCGAGAGTTTGTTTTACCGGACAGAGAGGCGACCACGACATCGCTCGAGTGACCCGTGCACTCCGTGACAGGACGCGCAGAGACGGCCCAGTGACTTGATTTACAGCAACAACCCAGAAGTGAAAAAGCACAGGCGAGGCGTGAGGGCCGCAGGACATAGCCCAGTGAGCGGCCAGTGAGTGGCCGAGCACCTCCGCCGAAGGAGGAGGACGGGGGAGGAGAAGGAGTGAGGAGGAGGAGGGAGGAGGAGGGAGGAGGAGGAGGAGGAGTGAGGAGGAGGGAGGAGGAGGAGGAGGAGGAGGAGGAGGAGGAGGAGGAGGAGGAGGAGGAGGAGGAGAAGGAAGCGCACGTGTGGTGCAGCCGTTGTGGGCACTACACGGCGGGGACCCGAACCCAGGGGCTTCAAGAGTCGTGTCTAACTGTCAACAGGCAGCAACTAGGGCTGCTGAGGAGGAGGAAGTTGCCATGGCCCAGGGGGCCCAAATGGCTGCTCTCCCCCAGCTGGCCAATCAAGACACCCACCACAGAATGGTGGGGTCTAGTTGCCGGAATTCGAAACACGGACGTGAGGATCTTATTGTTATATTTTCAGACCCACAGGGTCAACGGTGCCCCTTCGATCATCGATTGTTGAGGTTGCGCTCGGGCCGAGTAAAAGGAAGGAGGAGGAGGCGTCATCAGCCCCCTCTCTGCCGCCCCCGGACTTCCAGAGGCCTCGACCCCGTCCACGGGGGCGGCTCCCGCCCCGGGAAAGCCGCTTCTCTCTGTGGTGGGCCCCACAGGGCCCGAGGAGATGGCCACGCTGCGGGGTCGAAAGCCACGAAGAGCGCCAGGATTTTGAGAACAAAACCAGTCCGCCCAGAGTCTGGAGGAGAGCGACGACGCCCAGTTCCTCGACGACGACGACGACGACGACGAACACGTCGGCGAAGACGACAGAAGACGACGGCGACGACGGCAAAAAATGGAGGCGACGACGGCGACGACGACGACGGCGACGAGGACGAGCGGACGATGAGGACGACGACGAGGATGACGACGATGACGACGACGACGACGAAAACGACGACGACGACGCCTTGCCCCGCACGAAGCTCCGAGGCTCATCCCGGCGGCGACCGCAACCCCCACGGAGGGCACGGAGTGCCCGGCCAGCATGTGCAGCAGGGCGCTGCACGCCAACGTCGGGGCCTGGAGCAGGAGGGGGAGGGGGAGGAGGAGGAGGAGGAGGAGGAGGAGGAGGAGGAGGAGGAGAGGCCCCAAATGTGTTTTGCACACGCGCAGCAATGAACACAAGAGAATGAGACTACGGGCCCGCGAGTTGCCCCCGAGGGGCTCCCGAGAGACCCCCCCACCCAACACCCCGGAACCGCTTGGCAGAGGCTTCAGATCGGGATAGGCCGAAGGCCACTAGGCAAGCACGATACAGTCGAGAAGAAGGATACAACAAAAAAACTACTCCGACGATCAGCTCCCGCATTTGAATATGCTCGGCGAGTCTGGGCGTGATCCCGATGGTCGTCCCTGTGATTGCGGCAATGTGGTTCCTGCCTCCTCTGCGCCGTTTTCCTTTTCTCGTCCTGGCGGAGGCCCTCCTCCCGCTCCCTGCGTCGCCTTCTCCTCGACCTCCTGCCTCTCTTCCCTCCCCGCCACCTCCCCCCCTTCTTCCTGCAGGGGCGCGCGCATCGATGCGACTGGCGCCGCCGCCGCCTCGGCCAGCAGGAGCGCGCAGACGCAGGCGAAGCCGCTGCGACAACGACGCGGGGCCAGGCCATTCGCGCAACCACTCGTCCTCCTGCCTCCTCCTTCCCCCTCCCTGTTCCTGCCTCCGGCCTCCTGCCGCCTGCCTCCTTCTCCTCCTCCTCCTCCTCCTCCTCCCTCCGCCTCCTCCTCTCCTCCTCCTCCTCCTCCTCTCCTCCTCCCTCCTCCTTCCTCCTCCTCCTCCTCCTCTCCTCCTCCTCCTCCTCCTCCTCCTCTCCTCCTCCTCCCCATCCTCCTTCTCCTCCTCCTCTTCCTCCTCCTCCTCCTCCTCCTCCTCCTCCTCCTCCTCCTCCTCCTCCTCCTGTTCCCCCTCCTCATCCTACTATTTTCCCCCTGTTCCTTCCTCTCTCGCTCTCTCTCTCTCTCTCTCTCTCTCTCTCTCTCTCCGCAGCCTTCCACAGCGACCCCACGGACCAAGCACCTGCAGCAGGGCCTGGAAGAAAAAACAAACAACGAGACAAACGTTGCTCCAACCTACGCATTCCGGAAGGAGAGGGGGAAGAAGCGGGAGGGCACAGTCTCACACATGATGAACACAAAGGATGAAGAAAGGGAGTGTGGCCGTAGTGCCTATCAGTCGCCCTAGCCGTGTCGTCAACAAGCCGGGTCGACGGCACCCGAAGGGCCATGGGAGTCCATCCCCGCCCCTAGGGCCCGAGGGCGTGCCAAAATTACATTCGCACAACAAAGCCCAAAGGAGGAAACCGACACGCGCCTGAAACCAACACAACGCCCCATAACGACACGCGCGAACCGAGTTCATCCTCGCGCCATCGAAAGCGGCCCGAAGGGCAACGTACAAATGGCCAGTGAACGGGGCGCGGGTCTCTGGAGCGGGACGGTCTGGTTGTTGCTGACTACGCGTAGTGAGAGGGCCTAGATAGTTGTCACGAGTCCTGTGGCGACCCTGGCCCGTAGAGCGGCCCTTCACGTGTGAGTAGGTCCCGCCGTGGCCGTGGGAGACAAAGTTGCGTTTGCCCTCGCCCTTGCCTGTGCCTGCCATCATAATACTCAACCGAATAAGGGCGTCCTCCTAGCCATTATCCTCCTACCTCATGTCGCTCTCGTCGTCCTCGTCGTCGCACTCGTCTTCCCCCTGCCGTCGTAACAGTTCTGAGGCGGAACAAGGACATGGGCCGCCGGCCCACATGTATCCGGCACCTGTGCGCATCGTAATGGGCGCAGGACGGCGAGGGCGGCTCGATGGCTCTAGAGGGGCCCAGCGCTCGGACTATCTCGTCCCCGTTCTCGTAGTGGCCGCCAGAGCGCATGTCTATGTGCGGGAGTCGTGAGCTTGGCGATGGCTATGATGGCGAACTCCTCCGTGGTAGCCTCCCCCTCGTCGATCACAGTCCTGAGTGATCCAGCCCGTCAAGCACGGCGTCATGATAAATGAAGGATCGTGCAGCTCGTCGCTCCCCTCGTCCTCCTGCGCGTGCTCTGGATTCGACTTCTCGAACTTCTCGCACTCGTACTCCAGGTCCTCCAAGCTGAGTTCAATCGAGCACAGCTCTGGCGATTCTGGTGGGGGACTGGGCGAAATAGCCCGTAGAGCTAGGTGCGGGGTGCCACCTCGACGGGGGATACCAGCCCTATGTTGTTTTTGTTGGGGGGGCGGCTTATGCCCTGGTCTACCTCGGGTCGAGGCGCCCAGGGGGGCAGGGGAGGCTCTTGTAATTCAGCACACGGTCCTCGTAGTCCGGCCTGCGGTCCTCGTGGTTCAGCCGGTGGCGCTCGTAGCTTTCAGGGTGGCCTTTAATGCTCGGCAGGCGGCCCTGGTACCTCTCCTGGTGCCTCTCCTGGCTCAGCCAAGTAGCCCTGGTAGCGCTGCTGGTGGCTCTTGAGGCTCAGCTCGTGGTCCTTGCAGCCCTGCCTGTGGCCCTCGTAAGTAAAAACCTGCGGTCCTCGTTGCTCAGCCGGTGGCCTTGTAGCTTTCCTGGTGGCCCTTAAAGCTCAGGAGGTGGCCCTGGTACCTCTCCTGGTGCCTCTCGTCACTCAGCTGGAGGTCGTCGTAACCACGCTTCTGGCCCTCGCAGCCGTGCATGAAGTCCTCGTAGTTCAGCTGGTTGCCCCAGACCTGCTTGAAGTCCGAGTAGCTCAGAAAGAGGCCCTGGTAGCTCTGCCTGTGGCTCTTGCAGCTAAGGTTGTGGTCCGCGTAGCTCAACCTGTGGCCTTCGTAAAGCTTCTGGTGGCTCTTGTATCTCAGCAGGCGGCGCTGGTGCCACAGCTGGTGGCCCTCGACGGTCAGCTGGTGGTTATCAAAGCTCTGCTGGTGGCCCTCGTAGCTCAGCGGGTGGTTCTCGAAGCTCTGTTTCTCGCCCTCGTAGCTCAGCTGGTGGTCCTCGAAGGTCTGCTTGCCGCCCACGCAGTTCAGCTTGGGGCTCTCGTAGCTCAGCTGGTTGCAGGTGGCTCTTCCGGAGGGTCTCGGAGGTCTGCTGGCCCTCACAGCTTTGCGGGTGGCCGTCGAAGCTGCGCTGGTGGTCCTCGTTGCTCTGCGCGTTGTTGTCGAGCCTCTTTTTCCTGCCATGGTAAATTTGCGGGTATAGTCGAAACAGTTCAGCTGGTGGCCCTCGAAGCTCTGCTGGGACCTCTAGGAGGTTTGATGGTGGCCCTTGTAGCTGAGCGCGTGGCCCTCGAGGCTTTGCTGGTGCCTGTCGTGGCTGCTTTGGTGGCCGTCGAGGCTGTGGTTGTTGCCCTCGGAGCTCTGCTGGCGGCCCTCGGAGCGCTGTTGGTGGCCATATGCCTGGGGCCAGCAGGCCTTGCATGTCGTACGCATCGCCGAACTCGTCGCTGCCGTAGTTGCCGTACTCGTAGCAGCCGTTGCTGTCGTCCTCGTGGGCGCCGTGCTCGTAGGTGGGTTCCTGCAGCTGTACGGCGGTGTGCTGGAGGTGCTGCTGCAGTGGGACCTCCACGACGCTGCACTGCATCTGGAGAGCTATCGGCGCACGGTGCTCTCGTATAGCACCTGCTCTAGGGTTTAGGGTTTAGGGCACCGGC